AGTGGCACCTCATGCAAAGCCGAACGGGGCGATGAGAGCAATAACGACACCGGAGGCGGAGGGTAACATGACTGGATTTACAGGTGGCAGATGAGAGTGGGTGGGAAGGAGGAGGAGGAGGAGGAGATGTTTTGGAGATCCGCAGCGAGCCCAACGCCACACCCAGAGGCCGCTCCCGGGGAGGAGGGAGACTGTGGGGCAAGCGGGGGACGGGTGACCCCGTGGGCGCTCCTTGGGCCATTGACCGCTTGGCCACCGTGGGCCCAATCTCTGGCTGGGGACTCTGGCAAGTGCAAAGGATGAGGGAGAACGTCCCCGTGTGTCCTCAGGTGCGGTCCCACCGGCCTCAGGGCGGGGGACGGGCTCCATGGCAGCGATGAGGGGAGGTGGTATGGACATCCAGCCACACTACAACAAAGCGAACAGAAAAGATGGGATGAGACAGGGAGAACAACCCATGGAATGAAGGCACCGTCAGTGCCGCGGCACGGCAGACGGGGGAGAGGTCGGCGTTACCTGTGCCGGTGAGCACGGCCGAGCGGCTGCCGCCTCCAGGGCTCCCCTTGAGCCCATCCACGACCTGCTGATGTCGGAGACCCAGCTCAGGAGCTCGCCCAGCGGCACCGGGACGTCTTTGTTGGGACTGGAAAAAGACGTCTGCCAGAGAGAGAGCGCGTTAGCGCCGGCACGGGGAGGAGAGCCAGGGGGACGGAATTACCGCGAAGAAGGAAAAGGAGACCGGATTTTTTACAGAAATCTGCCTATTTCTAACAAGAGTGTGTGTGCCAGGCTGCTACAGCATCCCATGGCCCACCCTGTGCTCCAGGGGTCCCGTGGCCCCCATACCCCTCGTGAGGGTCAGGAAAGCCCCCACGGCACGGCCAGGGGGGCTCTGGAAGCAGGCTGGGGCGCGGGCTCTGGCAGACACCCGCCGATGGGTCACGGAGCCACCGTGAGCGTGAGGAAACCACCCTCGAGCAGAGGCACTTCCCAGATACACGGAGAGACAGACAGACAGACCGGCCGAGCGCGGCGGGCGCGTCCCAGAGGACAGGTGAGCGGGTGGGCTGGCGGAGGCAGGCGCGCAGCGAAGCCCCTCGGCGGGCGAAGCGGCGGAGCGGAGGCAGGTTCCCCCCGCGTGGCGCGGAAGCACCGGGCAGCGCCAGCGCGGCACTTACGGTCGGGGCACCGGCTCCACGGAGTGGCAATGGGGACGTGCCGGGAGGCCGAGGCAGGGAGATGGGGCAGCTCGGGGAACGGGGGGCAGAGCCCCCTCCTCGCCGCGCTCGGGGTGCGTGGAAGGGGTCCGGGCAGCAGGCGTGTCCGGTGCCGAGGAGCCCGCGATGTCCTCCTCCGGCACACCGGCTGCACCACGGGGCCAAGATCGTCTCCTCCTTTAGGGTGCGGGGGTTGAAGCCGGCAGGTTAATTACAAAAAGAGTGCTAAGAAGTGGTTAGATCCAAACAGGGAACTGTTTTCCTGGTGTCCGGCTCGACCGCGCCGTGCGCGAGCGGCGGCGGGATTGTCGCGGCCAGGAGCGGGAACGGTGTCCGGCTCCTGGGGCGCGGGGCGGGGAGGGTAGTGTGTGTTTTTTTTTCTCTCGTCTCTTAATATACAAACACTGTCAGCACATTCGCATATATTAATTTATTAGTCTCGTCTTTTTTTTTTTGGTTAAACTTGAGGCACTGCTTTGGGAGAAGAGTGGAGGTTCAAAATTAAAAAAAAAAAAAAAATACTAGTGATTAGCCAGCAGCGTTGCCACATGCGGAGCGGGTGAGGCGGCGCCTCGGGGTGCTGGCAGCTCTCAGGCCACGTAGATCRGGGGCCCACGAGCCACGGGGCGCTCCCCGCTCGCCTCCCACCCGGATGCGGCCATGGCGAGGGCAAAGGCGGCCACCTCCGTGGCGCCCTGGGTATCCCCCGCGTATCTGCGCCCGAAACTCGAGGAGGAGTAGGAGGAGGAAGAGAAGGTCATGGAGAAGCCGGAGCCGGTGGCGTCGAAACTGCCGCGCCGGGAGCCTGAGCGGGAGCCRGTGCGAGAGCCCGAGCGGGATCCGGAGGTGGAGCCGGCGCTGCTGATGTTGTAGGGGCTGTAGTAGCCCTTGCTGGACTGGGAGGAAGCCTCCAGCAGCCGCAAGCCGGTCCCGTCCTCGATCATGCTCCGGTCCATGGCGTCCTTGTAGGAGATCTTGAGCTTGGTCTTGGGGCAGGTGAGGTACTTGGAATAGGTGTTGACGTCCCGCAGCTTCTGGGCGGTCCGCGCGTCGATGGTGCCCTTCTGCAGCGCTTCATCCAGGGACACGCGGCCCGGGGCTTCCGGCTCGATCAGACCCCCCGTCAGGTACTGCACCTCCAGGAACCGCTGCCCGGCCTCGTAGTACAGCCAGCCCTTCTTCAGAGCCTGCGCCGCCGACATCTTGGTCTTGGTCCGCGGGTCCTCGAAGCCGTAGAAGGCCTTCTGCGCCAGATTGATGCGGTCCACCATGATCTTGTCAACCAGGCCCTTGTTGACCGCCTCGGCGACGGTGCACTTGTCACCGGTGTTGGGGTCAATGATGCCCCCGGTGCAGGCCTGGGCTTCCARCAGCCGCTGCCCCGTGATGTTGTCCACCAGGTTGCGGCGCATGGCCTCCGTGATGGACACCTTCTCCAGAGTGTCCGTGTCCAAGATGCCGGCCACTGGCCCGGTCTCCTCGGTCGGGTCAGTCCACATGGAGATCTGGGTCCGCGACAGGGCTGGGCTGACGGTGTAGGAGGAGGAGGATCCCACCGAGGACGACCGCGACCGGAAGCCACCCATGTTGCCGGAGAGCATGTCGGCAAACTCGGTGATGGAGAGGGTGCCCGAGCGGTACTGGTCCAGGGCTGATTGGTCGATCAGGCCCTTGCTGATGGCATCATCGATGTCGTACTGGCGTCCCGAGCGCCTGTCAATGATCATCGACTTCACCACGCCGTCGGAGGAGGAGGTGGTGATCTCCTCCCACTCGCACTCCTGCTCCGACAGCTCCAGGTAGGTCTGGTGGTCAATGAGGCCCTTGCGATAGGCTTCGTACACCGACATCTCCTTGCCRGTCTCGGGGTCAACGATCACCACCCGGCGCTTGCGGACGGAGGACTTGGACGAGGTCTTCCTCTCCCGCTTCTTCTCCTTCAGAGGCAGGAGGCAGAGGCCAGTCTCTGGGTCTGTGATGCACCGCTCCATCAGCTGCAGGTAAGTGAGGTTCTCCTCCGTGTTGGGGTCAAAGAAGCCCTTGGTGTCGTCGCTGGGGTCCAGCAGGATYTCGTTCATCTCCTCGTCGAAGAGGCCCCTCTTGTAGGCCACCTCCACGGGCAGCCGGTGGCTCTCCTCGGGGTCGATGATGCCTCCCGTRGCGATCTGAGCCTCCAGCAAGCGGATCCCGTGGTCCTTCAGGATCAGACCCTTCTTCATGGCCTGGAAGAGGGAGATGAGCTTCCCGGTGTAGGGGTCCCGGTAGCCGGTGACGGCCCTCTCGGCGGAGAGCAGCTTGTCCTTGAACTCGGGGCCCACAATGCCCATCCGCACGGCYTCCTCCACCGTCAGCTTGAGGCCCTTGATGGGGTCGATGACGTAGCCCGTGGCCGCCTGCGCCTCCAGGAGCTCGAAGGCGGTGCCGGGCCGGATGATCCCTTTCTTCATGGCTTGGTAGACAGAGAGACGCTCCTTGGTGGAGTCCACAAAGACGCCGGCGATGCAGCTGGTGCCCTCCAGGAACTTCTTTAGGTTCTTAGAAACCTCCTCGACAGAGGTGAGACCCTCCTGGAGGCGCTGGGCCGTGGCCTCATCCATCACCTGCGAGCGGACCAGCTCCTCCACGGTGATCTGCTTCCGCAGCCCCCGGAAGGTGAGCTTCCGCGTGTCGCAGAGCGGGAGCAGGAGGAGCCGGGAATTCTCATCTTTCCGGCACCGTTTCAGCAGCTGMGTGTAGCTGAGCTTCTCATCCGTGGAGGGGTCCACGTAGCTGCGCACCTCGCTGGGCTCCGACAGCATGTCGTACGTCTCCTTGTTGATGAAGCCCCGCTGGTAGGCCACCTCCAGGGGCAGGTGGAAACCCAGGTGAGGGTCAATGATGCCACCGGTGGCGATCTGGGCGTCCAGGAGCTTGAGGGCCTCTTCGCTGGGGATGAGATCCTTCTTCATGGCCTGGAAGAGGGAAATCTTCTGCTCGCTGTACGGGTCTCTGTAGCCGGTCACGGCCCTCTCCGCRGACAGGAGCCGGTCGTGGATCTCTGGCCCCACCACGCCCTTCCTGACCGCCTCGTCAACGGTCAGCATTTCATTCTTGGTGGGGTCGATCATGAAGCCGGTGGCTGCCTGGGCCTCCAGGAGGGAGCGGGCCACCTCGGCGTTGATCAGCCCCTTCTTCAGCGCCTGGTACACGCTGAGCGTCTGCTTGGACGAGGGGACRTAGATGCCGGCCACGCAGCCCGAGCCGTAAAGGTACTTCCAGACCATCTCCACCTCCAGGAGCTCCCGGAAGGTTTTGGAGCCCTGCTTCAGCAGGTTGTAGATGTCCTGGGAGATAATCTTGGCCTCGTAGAGGTCCTCGGCCGTGATGCGGCGCCGGACGTAGTCGTAGGATGTGAGATTCTGCTGCCGGATGATCTCGGTCTTCTCGATGATCTCGATGATAATGATGATCATGCGCTCCTTGGACACGCGGCCCGACTGGAACTCCTCCATGAGATGTTTGCGCTGCTCCTCGGGCAGCAGGTCCGAGTGCATGATCTCCCACAGGGACATGGAGGAGCCAGCCCGGCTGCCCACGGGGATGTCCACCTGCGTCTCCTCGAACACCTTCCGCGTCTCCGCTTCGGTGTACATGTGGGTGGTYTCCACCACTTTGGGCTTCTCGGGCTCCCGCAGAGGCAGAAGGTACAGCCCCGTCTCGGGATCCTCGATGCACCTCTCCTTCAGCTGCACGTAGGTGAGGTTYTCCTGAGTGTTGGGGTCGAAGAAGCCCTTGGTGTCGTCGCTGGGGTCCGAGAGGGTCTGGTTCATCTCTTGGTCGAAGTAGCCGCGTTTGTAGGCCACCTCCACGGGCAAGCGGTGGCTGTGCACGGGGTCGATGATGCCGCCGGTGGCGACCTGTGCCTCGAGCAGGCGGATGCCGTGCTCCTTGACAATGAGCCCTTTCTTCATGGCYTGGAAGAGGGAGATGGTATCCCCCGAGTAGGGATCCTTGTACCCCGTGACGGCTTTCTCGGCCGACAGCAGCTTCTCGTGCAGCTCGGGCCCGACCACGCCAGCCTTCACCGCCTCGTTGACGTACAGCTTACGGTTCTTCACGGGGTCGATCAAGAACCCGGTGGCTGCCTGGGCTTCCAGGAGGACCACGGCAGTGCTGGGCCTCAGCAGGTTCCTCTTCATGGCCTCGTAGATGTTCAGCTTCTCCTTGGTGGCCTCCACGTAAACGCCGGCGATGCAGTCACTGCCGTGCAGGAACCTCCTGACCGCGTCTGTCTCGGAGAGGTCCTTCACCGATTTCTTGCCTTGCTTCAGCTGCTCATATTGGGCTTTACTGATGATACAGGACTCCAGCAGCTCGCTGGCCGGCACCGGTGCCCGCAGACCACTGAAGGTCAGCTTCTCCTGCTTTTTGGTCTCCGCCTCCTCGATGATGGTGATCACGATCTTGATGATCTTCTCGATCGTCACTTTGCCCGTCTTGTACTGTCGCAGCAGCTCCCGCCTGTGCTCCTCTGTGAAGTATTCGGAGTGGATCAGCTCCCAGATGGTCATCGTCCGGCCCTTCATGCTGCCCACTGGGACCTCGATGGTKGTTTTGTCGAAACACTCTTTGGCCTGGCTGTCGGTGTAGACCTCCTCCTGCTGTGACTGGATGGCCTCGTCGGACAGGGGCAGCAGGCACAGGCCGGTCTGCTTGTCACGGTGGCAGCTCTTCTGCAGCTGGGCGTAGCTGAGGTGCTGCTGGGTGTTGGGACAGTAGAAAGCCTTGGAGTCGTCTCGGAGCTCGGCCAGAGCCTTGTTTATCTCCGGGTCCAGGTAGCCGCGCTTGTAGGCGACCTCGAGCGGGAGACGGTGGCTGTTGACGGGGTCGATGATGCCGCCGGTGGCGAGCTGGACGTCCAGCAGCCGCAGCCCGGTGTCACTGGGGATGAGGCCCTTCTGGAGCGCTTGGTAGAGGGAAACCGTCTGACCTGTGTAGGGGTCCTTGTAGCCGGTCACCGCCTTCTCCGCCGACAGCAGCTTCTCGTGGAACTCCGGCCCCACCACCTCGGCCTTCACCGCCTCATCCACAGAGAAGAGCTTGTTGCCCACCGGCTCGATGATGTAGCCGGTGGCAGCTTGCGCCTCCAGCAGGGACAGGGCAACCTCTGGATTCAGCAGGTTCCTCTTCAGGGCCTCGTAGAAGGTGAACTTCTGGCCCGTCGACTCCACCAGGACGCCGGCRATGGCGTCCGTGCCCTTCAGGTACTGCCGCACGGACTCCATCTCCGCCACGTCCTTCACGGACTTCTTGCCCTGGTGCAGCTGGTTGTAGAGGTCCTTGTTGATGATCTTGCTCTCCAGCAGCTCGGCAGCGGGCACGGGGCCCCGCAGACCCTCGAAGCACATCTGGCTCTTTCTCTCGCTTTCCTCCACAACCGTGATGACGATCTTGATGATCTTCTCCACCGTGATCTTGCCGGTGCGGTACTGCTGGATCAAATCCCGCCTTTGGTCCTCGGTGAAGTATTCCGAGTTGATGAGTTCCCAGATGGTCATCGTCTTCCCTTGGAATTTGCCGAACGGAGCCGTCACTGTGGCCTTCTTGAAGACATCCTTGGCTTCYTTGTCGGTGTAGACCAGCTCTCGAGCTTTGGCCGCTTGGTCAGTGAGCGGCAGGAGGCACAGCCCCGTCTCGGGGTCAGTCACGCACCGCTCCATCAGCTGCAGGTAGGTCAGGTTCTCCTGAGTGTTGGGGTCGAAGAAGCCCTTGGTGTCGTCGGTGGGGTCGGACAGGACCTGATTCATCTCCTCATCRAAGTAGCCGCGCTCGTAGGCTGCTTCCACAGGCAGGCGGTGGCTGTTGACGGGGTCGATGATGCCGCCGGTGGCGATCTGGGCCTCGAGCAGGCGGATGCCGTGATCCCTGACGATCAGCTCCTTCTGCATGGCCTGGAACAGCGAGATCTTGTCGCCCGTGTAGGGGTCCTTGTAGCCGGTGACAGCGCGCTCGGCCGACAGCATCTTGTTGTGCAGCTCGGGCCCGATCACCCCCTCTCGCACCGCCTCGTTCACCGAGAGCCTCGCGTTCCGCACGGGGTCGATGATGAAGCCGGAGGCGGCCTGTGCCTCCAGSAGCACCAGCGCCGTGCCTGGGCTGAGCAGCTTCTTCTTCATGGCTTCGTAGATGCTCATCTTCTGGTTGGAGGGTTTGATCAGCARCCCGGCGATGCTGCTCTTGCCCTGCAGGTATTTCTTGATGTCCTCCCTCTGAGAGAGCTCACCCACGCTCACCACACCCTTCGCCAACTTGTCCAAGCTCTCCCTGCTCAGAATGCCGGCGTCAGCCAGCTTCTCCGCCGACACCTTCTGCCGGATGCCGTCGAAGGTGAACTCGGGCTCTCCGTTCTGGGCTAAGCCGTCCACTGCGTCCCGGCCATTGGGGACAGCCTTGACGTCCAGCAGCTGCGTCGTGGTAACCGAGGCCTCCCCGGGCAGGTCGTCCGTCTGGATCATGATCTCACGTCTCTGGGCCAGGGCGGTCTTGTACTCCTCCTGCATCTGCTCCAGCCTCTCCCTCAGCTTCATGTTCTCTTCTTCCAGAAGTTTCTCCTGCTGCTGTCGCTGCCTCTCCAGCTGCTGCAGCTCCTCCTGCTTGTGCCGCACGTTTTCCTCAGCTTCTTTCTGGTGCTTTTTGGCTTCGTCTAACATGGCTTTCAACTGCTGCTTCTCCTGCTCCATCTCCTGCTGCTGCCGCTCCTGCTCTGCCTTCAGGTTCTGGGCTTTGTTCACCTCRTCTTTAAAGAGCTTCTCCAGCTTCGATTTCTCCTCCTCGATGAGCTTCTCCTTCTGCAGCAGGGCATCCTTCTCTGTCAGGAAGCTCTGCTGAAGAAGCTGCGTCTCCTGACGGAGCTGAGCCTGCTGGGCCACCTGCATCTGGGGTGGGAGAGAGGACAGTGCGGTCAGAMAGCCAGCAGGGCAGCGGGGGACTGGGGGTGGGCTGAGGCAGGGGGAATGGGCAGCAGGGCTGTCACGGAGCCACAGAGTCACCCACGCACTCCCAAACACATTGGGTTTGAGTTAAGGAGCAGAGCCGGGGTTAGGGAGCCACACACAACACGGGGCAGGGTGAGCAGGGGCAGGACACGAGGCAACGCCCGGCACGAAGGCTGGGAACGGGGCACAAAGAGGAAACACGGGGCGGAAGAGGGTGGTGGGGATCCCCCCTCCGTGGAAGGAGGGGAGGCGGTTGGGGTCCCTCTCCGACGCTGCCTGAGGGGTTTGCTCCACATCCCTGACCTGCATGGGGAGTCCTGCCCCGCCATCCCCAGTAACGGTCCTTGGGGRCCTGTCCGGGGATGGCGTGGGCCGGCCGGACAGAGGGACGGCCACCCCGTGTACCACCACCGCTAAGGGGGACCCAGTACCTCCTCTGCCTTCTGCTGCAGCAGCGCCGCCTCCTGCTTCAGCTTCTCCTTCTCCTTCTCCAGCTCGGCGATGGCCTTCCGCAGCTTTTCCGCGTCCTCGTCGCTCTGGTGCCGCTGGATCTCCAGGGTTTGCACCATCGCCATCTTCTCCTGCGTGGCCAGCTCSGTCTCGTGCAGCCTCTCGCTGATCTCCTCGGCCTGCTTCTTGAACCGCTTGGCTTCCTCCTCGGCCTTGGCCTGGGCATTGCTCATCTCCGCCACTTGCAGCTTGAGGCGCTCCGCCTCCGCCGTGATGTCCAGCTGCCTGCGGCGCTCGGCCTCCAGCGTCTTCTGGAAGCCCTCGGTCTCCTCGGCCAGGCGCTGCTGCATCTGCTCCTTGTCCTCCTGCAGCTTCTTGGCGTGCTCCTGCGCCAGATCCTTCTGCTTCTGCAGCACCTCGGCCTCGGCCCGCAGCCGCGTGGCCTCCTGCACCGCCTGCATCTTCTCCTTCAGCATCTTCTCCGCCAGCGCCCGCTGCTGCGCCAGGTCGTCCTCGGCCAGCTGCCGCATGCGGGCGGCCTCCTGCGCCTCCACGCTCAGCCGGGCCACCTCCTCCGCCACCTGCTTCATCTTCTCCGCCTCCTCCGCCAGGAATTTCTGCGTGTTGTCCTTGTCCTTGAGGATCAGCGCCTTGTTCTCCTCCTCGATGCGGCTCTTGAGCTTGGCCAGCTCCTCCATCTGCACCCGGACCTTGAAGAGCTCCTCCTCCACCTGGGCCTTCTGCCGGACGGCGTCCGTCACCTCCTCCTTCAGCCGCTGCAGCTCCTCGTCCAGGATGCCCTTCTGGTGGTCCGTCTCGTCCAGCTGCAGCTTCACCTTGGTCAGCTCCTTCTCCACCTGCTCCTTCTGCCGCAGCGTCTGCTCGGCGAACTTCTTGTGCTTCTTCATCTCGGCGTCGGCCAGCTGCTTCTGCCGCAGGGCCGCCTGCTCGGCCTGCGCCCGCTTCGCCGCCTCCAGCTCGGCCTCCTTCCGCAGCTTCTCCGCGTCCGCCTGCGCCTGAGCCTTGGCCTGCGCCTCCTCCTCCGCCTGCTGCTTCAGCCGCTCGGCCTCCTCCACGCGCTGCCGGGACAGGCTGGCGTCCTGCTCCGCCTTGCCACGGGCGAACTCGGCCTCCTCGGCCGCCCGCCGGGCCCGCTCGGCCTCTTCGCGGAGCCGGTCCAGGAGGCTCTGCTCCTGCTGGCGGGTCTGCAGCAGCTCCTGCTCCTTCTGCTGCACGGCGGCGAGGTGCGCCTTCTCCTCCGCCTCGATCCGCTTCTGCGCCGCCTCCCGCGCCAGCTGGATCTGCCGCTCGGACTCCTTCTCCGCCAGCTCCTTCTGCCGCCGCGCCTCCTCCACCATGGCCCGAAGCCGCTCCACCTCCTCCAGGGCCAGCCGCCGCTGCCGCCCGGCCTCCTCCTCGGCCGCCAGGATGGCCTGCACCTTCTCCTCGGCCTCGCGCCGCCGGCCCTCCTCCTCCAGCACCAGCGCCCGCTGCCGCTCRGCCTCCCGCTCCGCCTGCTCCCGGCTGCGCTGCACCTCCTCCGCCTCCCCGCGGATGCGGTTCAGCTCCCGCTCCAGCTCGCTCTTGCCGGCCGAGGCCTTCTCGAAGCTGGCCTTGAGGGAACGGATYTCCTCCTCCACCTGCCGCCGCTGCCGCAGCGTGTCCTCCACCAGCCCCTTCTGCCGCTCCAGCTCGCTCTCSGAGGAGCGCTTCAGCAGGGCGATCTTCTCCTCGATGTCCTGCTTGTGCTGGGCYGCCTGCTCCTCCAGCAGCTTGCGCTGGTAGGCCTCGTCCTCCGCCAGCCGCCGCAGCCTCTCGTTTTCTGCCTCCTTCTCCTTCAGCATGATCTCCGCCTCCGCCTTCAGCCGCGAGGCCTCGTTGATGGCCGCCAGCTTCTCCTTCAGGATGCGCTCGGCCTCGGCCCGCTGCTGGCTGGCCTCGTCCTCTGCCAGCTGCCGCTGCCGCTTGGCCTCCTCGGAGAGGGCACGCAGGCGGGCGGCCTCCTCGGCCAGCTCCCGCAGCTTGTTGGCCTCCGCCTCCAGCCGCTTCTTGGACTTCTTGCTGGTGGAGCGCGACTCCTCCTCCGTCTTGGCCTTGCTCTCCAGCAGGACCTCCATCTCTGCCCGCAGCTTGGCCAGCTCCTCTTCCAGCTCTTTCCTCCTCTGGATGGCCTCGTTTACCTCCCCCTTCAGCCGYGCCAGCTCTTCCTCCAGGAGCAGGCGCTGCTGCTCGCCGTTGTCCATCTCCGCCTTCAGCCGGATCAGCTCCTGCTCCGCCGCCAGCTTCTGTTGGGCCGTGCCCTCCGCCAGCTCCCGCTGCTTTTCCAGCTCTTCCTCCGCCAGGTCCTTCAGCCGCAGGGCCGCCTCCTCCGCCTTGGCGCGCTTGCGGGCCTCGCGCTCCGCATCCTCCTTCTGCTTCTCGGCCTCCTCCTGCGCCAGCGACTTCTTGTGGGCCACCTCCTCCGCCTGCAGCCGCAGGCGCAGCGCCTCGTTGGCTTTCTGCCGCCAGCGCTCCAGCTCCTTCTCGGCCTCCTCCCGCAAGCGCTCGGCCTCCAGCTGCTGCCTCTTCAGCCGCTCGGCCTCCTCCTGCAGCTGGGCCACCACGTCGTGCTCCTGCTGCAGCGACAGCTCCAGCTGCGCCGTCTTCTCGGCGAAGGAGAGCCGCTTGCTCTGCAGCTCGGTCTCGGCGCTGCGCTGGGCCACCTCCTGGGCCACCTGGATCTGCCGCTCCTTCTCGGCCTCCGCCTGCCGCATGCGCCGCTCGGCCTCCTCCGCCTGCAGCCGCAGCTGCTCCAGGTCCGCCACCGCCTTCTGCTTCTCGCGCGCCGCTTCGCGCTCGGCCTGCACCTTGCGCTTCAGCTCCTCCTCCGCCTCCCGCTTCTTCTGGCTCTCCTCCTTCACCTGCCGGCGCAGGCGCTCGGCCTCCTCTTGCGCTTGCTTCTTCTGCCGCTCGGCCTCCTCGGCGCGGGCCCGCAGCTCCTGCAGCTCCGTCTCCGCRCCCTCCCGCTGCTTCTCGGTGCTCTCCAGCTGCAGGCGGATGAGGCGGATCTCCTCCTCCACCTTCTTGCGGTTGTACTCGGCCTCCTCGATCAGCTTCTCTTTGGACATGATCTGGTGGTCCGAGTTCTGCCGCAGCTGCATCAGCTCCTGCTGGATGTTCTGYTTCTGCTGCTCGGCGTCTACGGCCACCACCTCCCGCCGGGTGACCTCCTCCTGCATGCGGAGCTGCAGCTCCCGCGCCTCCGCCTCCGCCTGCGCCTTGGCTTTGGCGTGGGCCTCGGCCAGCTGCCGCTGCTTCTCCAGCTGCGCCTCCACCTCCGCCAGCCGCTTCCTCTCCTCCTCCTTCAGCTTCTCGGCGGCTTTCTGGAGGGGAAAGAGGGTGCAGGGGACAGAGAGGGGAGAGAGAGACAAATCACAAGGGATGCGATCGCGCCGTGGCGTCGATGCTGGCCCAGCCGCGGCGCTGCCAGGACAGCGGAGGGGCGGCGGATGCGCGTGGAATGGCTTCGGCCCCCGGGCCGCCGCGTGAGCCAGTGGCGGCGACGCCAGCTTCCAGAAGACGTGTGGCAGGACAGGGGACACACGACAGCACAGGCAGACAGGCAACAGGAGCCAGACAGCAGTGCAGGAAGCCACGTTCCAGAGAGAAGGGACAGAGAGCGAGCGGAGCCCAAGCGATGAAGACGATGCCAGCAGCGTGCACGCCACCACCACCACCGCGGCTCCCCATGCGAGGGGACCGGCACAGACAGCCCCTGCCGTGGGGAAAGGAGAGAGACGGCCGGAGCACCAGGAGCAGAACAGAGGGGAGCGGTGCCAGGGCGGTGCCAGCAGAGCCTTCCCTGCTGGGAAAGCCTCAACAGGAGAGAGCAGTTCAGTTCAAAGCTCTCCCAGCCCTCTCCGGGCAACTGGGAGCAAGCTGTGCCAAAGGGCCGACGCGGCTAACGCCCGGCTCCTGGCTCGGGGCCATGCCACAGTGCGCACCACATGCACCGTGAGCGCATGCAGGRCAGCCTGACCCCACACCACACCACACCCCCGGTGCCGGAGCAGCACAGAGGCAGAGGAGGGTGAGGAGGAGAGGATGAGCCGCGAGGGAGAGGCAGAGGGTGCCGCGGGGGAGAGAGGGCATGCGCAGAGTGAGTACCTGGTGCAGGGCTGCCAGAGTCATCCTTGCTTTTTTTACCCTCCATCATTAGATCCCCACCAACACAAATATTCCCCCAAGAAATAGCGCTGGCAAAGCAGCTCCGAGGGCAGAAACCGAGAGTTAGAGAGGTTACACCAGAGCCCGCGGGCCGGCGCCCGGCACAGCAGCATGCGCAGGCAGGTGCTGACTGCACTACGTGTATCTGGGAAGTGCCTCCTACCACCACCAATCGCAGCAGGGCCAGCTCAGCTCAGAGACCCCCGAGCTGCACCCCGAGCCAGCAGCCCTGCTCCCGGGAGCCCAGCAGGGAGCAGGAGGTAAAGGCTGTGGGCTAGTGTTAGTGATGGGGCCAGAGTCACGGCTGTGGGCCAGTGTTAGTGATGGGGCCAGAGTCACGACCGTGGGCTAGTGTTAGTGATGGGGCCAGAGTCACGGCTGTGGGCCAGAGTTAGTGATCGGGTTGGAGCCACGGCCATTGGTCACTGTTGGTGATGGGGCCAGAGTCATGACCGTGGGCTAGTGTTAGTGATGGGGCCAGAGTCAGGACCGTGGGCTAGTGTTAGTGATGGGGCCAGAGTCAGGACCGTGGGCTAGTGTTAGTGATGGGGCCGGAGCCACGGCCATTGGTCACTGTTAATGATGGGGCCAGAGTCATGACCGTGGGCCAGTGTTTGTGATGGGGCTGGAGCCATGGCCATTGGTCAGTTAGTGATTGGGTTGGAGTGACGGCCATTGGTCACTGTTAGTAATGGGGCCAGAGTCACGATCGTGGGCCAGTGTTAGTCATGGGGCCAGAGCCATGGCCATTGGTCACTGTTAATGATTGGGCTGGGGCTGGACCCACGGCCATTGGTCACTGTTAATGATGGGCCAGAGTCACGGCCACGGGCCAGTGTTAGTGATGGGGCTGGAGCTATGGCCATTGGTCACTGTTAATGATGGGGCCAGAGTCACGGCCATTGGTCACTGTTAGTGATGGGGCCAGAGTCACGGCCATTGGTCACTGTTAGTGATGGGGCCAGAGTCACGGCCATTGGTCACTGTTAGTGATGGCATTGGAGCCATGGCCGTTGGTCAGTGTTAGTGATGGGGCTGGAGCCACGGCCGTGGGCCAGTGTTAGTGATGGGGCCAGAGTCATGACCATTGGTCACTGATAGGGCTGGGAGTCACGGCCATTGGTCACTGTTAGTGATGGGGCCAGAGTCACGATCGTGGGCCAGTGTTAGTCATGGGGCCAGAGTCACGGCCATTGGTCACTGTCAGTGATGGGGCAGGAGCCACGGCAATTGGTCACTGTTAGTGAGGGGGCCAGAGTCATGGCTATGGGCCAATGTTAGTGATGGGGCCGGAGTCACGGCCATTGGTCACTGATAGGGCTGGGAGTCATGGCCGTTGGTCACCGTTAATGATGGGGCTGGAGCCATGGCCATTGGTCACTGTTAGTGATGGGGCTGGGGCTGGGGCTGGAGCCACGGCCATTGGTCACTGTTAGTGATGGGGCCGGAGTCATGGCCATGGGCCAGTATTAGTGATAGGGCCAGAGTCACGGCTGTTGGTCATTGATTGGGCCAGAGCCACGGCCATTGGTCACTGTTAGTGATGGGGCTGGAGCCACAGTCATTGGTCACTGTTAGTGATGGGGCCAGAGTCAC